CCTAAAAGTGCCCTGAACGGGCCCCGCCGGTACAAAAAAGTGGAATTTGCGCAGACGCGCTCAAACGGTAAAAATCGTGAACAAACCAAATGAAAAAAAATAAATAACGGAAGAAACGACGTAGAAAACTGAGTCCCGTGCAGAAAAATATGCCCCGAACAAGTTCGGCAGCAATTAGGGCCGAAAACCCTAAAACTGGGAAAAACGATCGTGAGGAAATCTTAAGAGTACATGACTTGACAAAATGTGAAAATGAATCCTGTACGAGAATCCAAGCCCAAAATGAGGCACTTTGCAATAACTTTCGTTAATTGCATAATAGCCCATCAAAGAAAGGATAACTGCATAACTGCCCAGAATGAAAATATCTTCCAAAAGATATTTTGTTAAAAACCCCCAAAATAAAATATCTTCAAAAGATATTTAAGAAAAACACCCCAAGAAACATCAAAGTTTTTGAAAAATCCTTTCATCCACGCCCTTGTGGGAGAGAGAAACAACCGGCGAGCTTTTCTCCAAAAGTAAAGCTATGCGTTTCGAGAAAATCAACTGGAATGAAAATTCGTGAAGTCAAAACTCAACTCCGAACACGAAAAGTGAGGTTGTGCCAACAAAGTGATAAACGGAAAAAAGACGAAAAGTGAATAGTGTCTAAAAAATGAAAATGTGGAAATGACTCAATCGTTAAAAAAAGTTGTCAATCCAAAGGAAAGAGTCATTTCCGAGCACTCGAGACGACACTAAGTGATGAGTAACCGAACTCAAAAAAGAAAATTGAACAAAATAAAATTTATCCGTAAAATTTGAGAAAAATGAAAGGAAGGAAAATGATAGGGTTATTACAGTATTGGCAAATTGTAGGAAGTTTTCAATTTACACCATTTGGTGCTGGAAGGAGAATATGTCCTAGCATATCGTTCGCGGTAGCTTGCACTTGCCAATTTATTATATGACTTTGACTGGAAACTTCCTGACGGAGAGAAGCAAGAAAATCTAGACATGACTAAGGCCTTTGGTAGAATAGTTAGCAAGAAAAGAGATCTATGTGTGACTCCTATTGCTTATCATCTTTCAGGTAGTGAATAGATATTAAGACAGGAAAACATTATTGAATTTTCAGTTTTAGTGTGAGCCTGTAAGGTTAATTAAGTTTTACGTATATTAATAATGTAATAGTATGTTAAAAATGTAATAGTATGTTAGAATATGTATAACCATATAGAAAGATCAAATAAAATAAGATGTTAGGTGGGCTTCCATAGAAAATTGAATAAATAGCACACTTCACTTGGTGGTGTTTTTACAGCAAAGTTTTAAAGTGTTCTGATCTCAAAAGCTTAGCTCTTTGATTAAGTTCAATAGACCCCTAAGTTTAAACACCACAAAATAAAAAAATAAAAAAATAATACAAAGCAAAAAGTATCCATCATACAAAATCCATAAGCTCTTCTTATTGATCATTGTATTCAAATGGATTTGGAGAATTGTTAATGTAGATTAATTGAAAATAATCTTATCCTATGCTTGATACAGAGAGTTCTGAATTTTGTCAAGTGATTGATTGCTGAGTAGTTTAGGGTCTATTATATTTTAGTATTAGTTACAAAAATTATCATTATTTTATTGCACTTACAGTCTGAATATATATTAAAAAAATTAAATAGTTGTTCTATCATAATAAATATTCGTTGCCTCACCAAAGTTGCACTTACATCTTAAATTCTTTGAGTGTTAAATTTAAAATTATGATAACTGAATTCTTTTATGAAACAATTTGAAATGAATAAATTTTCTATGTTATAAGGACTAGCCTTCCGCAAGGCTGTGAATATTCTAACGTTTGGGAGGGTCAGATATACATAACCCCATGTACATGTATCTTGTTATTTTTCATTTTGAATATGTGACCTTCAAATTATAATAGAACAACCTTACCATGTCAAATCCGAGCAAAAAATCCTGCAAAGCTTTTGTGTTCAAGCTCTGTTTGTGTGGCCTGTGTTTTGGTGCCTGGGCTGCGGGCCTAGGCTTTGCTCCTTAGGCTGCTGCCCCTTGTACAGTTTTTTCTTCTTTATCAATAAACTGAAAAAAAAAAAAAAGCTTAATGCAAAATCTGAGTTCATTAAATCGCTTGAGATTAAAAAGATTAAAGCATTTAGTCAGATAAAAATCAATGATAGTAAAATGATAGTAGTTTGGTGATCTTATGAGTTATGACATTATCTTTTTATGTATTCCATGCTCTATTATACATTATTTAAAGTCTACTATTCTTACAATTGAGACATACCATTTCATCTCTAAAGATTAGTTGTCAAACTTTTTATAACCAACTCCAGACCAATTCAAGTTATATAAAAACTGACCAATCTTCTGCGTATTAAAAAACTCATTTACGGATCGACCAAGCCAAGTTATATAAAAGCTGATCAATCTTCTGCGTATAAAAAAACTCATTTACACATAATTCACTTATAATGTAATTCAGGACAATATTTTATCTCATGTTAACATATCAAAAACTCAATGCATGAATATATATAACCAATAATGAACCACATTCATGAATAATTTTTTAATATTAAAAAAATTAATGATTGACCTTTTGCCGTAGGGGATGTAACTTGAGTAGGCCAACTCAAACCCAACTTGAGTCCTAGCTAGATTTTGTATAAACTTGAATAATCATATTTACAATTAGGGTTAGACTTATTAGATTGAAAATTCTCAATTTGAATTTAATTAGGGTTAGACTTGGGTTGAGCTGTCAACAATTCCAGTTCAATCTGAACTTGAATATTAATATTTTTTTTTAAATTTAAATACACCATTTTTATATATATTTCAAATTATGGTCTAGACTCGAGTTCGTCTGATAAGTTGTTGGTTTGTTAATATGTCATATGATGTATAGAATAATATCTTCAATTATTTTAGTTATTATTTTATTTTATATGTTTATTTAGTCAAAAAAAAAATGACATAGATATGTAAATAAATAAATTAAAAGGATCCAACAGGAACTATAAAAGCAAAGAAAAGTGAGATGGTAGCCTGGTAGGAAGCTATCCTTTTTTTTTTTTTTTTTTATTCTTCCCAGTTTGACATTTGAGGTTTTCAGTAGGTTTAGCTTCACGATCAAAGAAGACTTTGAAACTTTTAAAGTAACTTTGCTTTTTTAAAACAAAGAAAAGTTATATGGTATATTATTATTATATCATATAGTAAATATAATATTATGTTTTTATTTTTGGGGGTTTGTAAGACAAATTTATTGTTCTAATGCCGGTCAATTTGATGGGTGGATAAAATTTGCCGTGTGTATCTAGGGTAGGGCTGGGCTGGGCTGGGCTCCAGCCCACCCAAAAAAGAAAAAAATATTATTACTGTGTGTAATTTTAACCTAGTAAAAAAAAAAAAAATTTAATATTAGTAAACAATTCTAAGTCAATTAAGTCACAATACTAAAAAAGAAAAGGTCTAAGCCAAATAAGTCCTAATAATAAAATTTGTTTAAAAAATTGTGTTATTAAATTTATATTTAATTTTAGCCCACTCCATTGACAATTTCTGAATCCGCCTTGCATATAGATCAAACTTAAGATATTAATCATTTCTTTACCTTTAAAGTTTCTCTATAAATACAGTGATTAATTTCTCTCTAATTCACACAGGCTTTGTTCTCTGTTTCCCTTTTATTGTTTCTCGTTCAACTCTACACTGAAGAGACGTGGGAACTAGAGCTGTAACTCATTAGAGGTCTATCCACAACTGATCTCTGTGTGTGTGTGTGTCTCTCTCTCTCTGGACATACGTAAGTATTTTTTTTTATATTATTATTATGAGGAAAGAAAGTACTCCGTAATATATAATAAGGTTCACTCTCAAGTAAACAACAATAGAGTTTGCTAATGCCGACTGTGGATGTAGGTTATATGCTTAAATAGCGTTATATCTTATATCTTAGGACGTGTTTTTTGTGGTAGGAGTTTCTATCAACTCTTGATTATGTTTGTGGTTTGCCAGTTTTTGTCATAACAATTCATGGAGCTTAAGAAATAATTCTCTTCCCCAATTTCACCCTAATTTTCATATAACATTTCATGATCGTTTAGAAAGAATTTTTATATTACATGTAATTAGAAAACTTGCAATGCGATTCATGCACCTTGTTTTCTTGCTAACATGAATATGGAGGGGTTGCTTTTCACTGTGAAATAGTTATGCGTTTTATCGGGGATGCTTATCAGGCAGCCAAGCCCGGCTCCCACTTGACGCCACTAAAGCGAAATAATTAAATGATGCCTTCTCAAACCAACTGTTTGGAAACAATACTATTAAACTGCTCGTTTGGTCTCCCCAGAATACCCTTATACCATTTTTCATATAAACACCATTTTTTTTTTTCTCTTTTGGTTAGAATACTTTAATCGTTTTACATCTATTTTGTTTTTTTTTTATTTATTTTTTATTTTTTTGTTCAAATACGTAAGGACACTTTAGTCTTGTAATTGCTCTACTGACAATAGGTCCTTGTTCGCAATAAAAAATAAAGATTAGGAACTTTTAAGAACTTACCGGGAGTTATATATTGTATTTGCATACCATAAGGGCAAGGACAAATCCAGTAATTGTCAATGGGGGCTAATATTAAACATAAATTTAAGTGAGGTCAGATGCTCTGATTGCCCTTCCCTCTCCAAATGCAAGTTGGGATGTTTTCTGATTTATCAACCGAAAAGCTTAGAATCCTAACCGTTCATACACATATCTATTTATACCAATTGATGTATTAGGGATTTATGGCTTGTTTCTTAGGCTTGTTTGATGAAATTATGAGGTTTCAGTTCTAATTGACAACAAAGAATCAATCCAAATTGAAATAAGATTCAAAGCTTTATATTTTATATTATCCAAACTATATGATTATTTGTCAAACTACTAAATTAAATCACCTTATATATGCCATAACAAGCAAGCATAAATCTGGAGAAGTGATGATGGAGTTCCCAATCCTGTCCTTCCCAGTTCTGTTCACATTCCTACTGTTTCTATTCATGGTATTGAAAACCAAGATCAGTTCTTCTCCAAAACTGCCTCCTAGGCCATGGAAACTACCTCTAATAGGTAACATTCATCAATTTGTCAGATCTCTACCCCATCACTGCTTAAGAGATTTGGCCATGAAATATGGACCTTTGATGCACCAGCGACTCGGAGAACTTCCTATTGTTGTGATTACTTCAATAGAATTTGCCAAAGAGGTGATGAAAACACATGACAACATCTTTGCTAGCAGACCTTTTGTTTTTGCTATGAATATCATAGCTGGGAATGACATTGGCTTCGCGCCTTATGGGGATCACTGGAGACAACTTCGAAAAGTTTGCATACTGGAGGCTTTTAAGCGCCAAGCGTGTCCAATCATTTCGACCCATCAGGGAAGAAGAGGCCTCGAATTTGATCAAATCTATTTCGACCCATAATACAGCTGGATCTCTCATCAATGTCACTGAAAAGCTTTTCTCCATGACATACAACATAGTTTCTAAGGTGGTCGTTGGTAAGAAATTCCATGGGAAAGAAGAATTCTTATCACTTATCAGGGATACTATGGAGGTAGCAGGAGGTTTCAATGTTGCTGATCTCTTTCCTTCAGTTAAAATACTTGGTTTGATAAGTGGGCAGATACCTAGAGCTGAGAAGATTCATCAAAAAATTGATGAGATATTTACTAACATTATTGATGAACATAAAGCTAGAGATGGTGAAGTTGATTGCGAAGACCTGATAGATGTACTTTTAAAAGTTCAGGGGTAACCTTAATATCCCCTTAACTATGACAATACTCAAGTCAGTTCTCATGGTTAGTACAGTTACTTTTTTCTAATTCTATCAATGAATCAACTTCCACAAATATTTACTTGTACAGTATTCTCTACTCTTAATTCTAACTCAATTTCAATGCTCTTTCAGGACATATTCATTGGAGGGATTGAAACATCATCCTCAACTGTAATCTGGGTAATGTCAGAATTGCTAAAAAACCCAAAAGTTATGGAAAAGGCACAAGCTGAGGTGAGACAGGTTTTAAGTAAAAAAGGGAGATATTGTAAATGAAGATGACATCTATGAATTGAGTTACTTGAAGTTAGTTATCAAAGAAACTCTGAGGTTACACCCTCCTAACCCTTTATTAATTCCGAGAGAGAGCAGGGAGAGATGTGAAATCAATGGATATGAGATACCTGCGAAAATCAAAGTCATTGTCAATGTATGGGCAATTTGTAGAGATCCTGAAAATTGGAGTGATCGAGAGAGCTTTCATCCAGAGAGATTCATTGACATGTCGGTTGATTACAAGGGGACTCATTTCCAATTTACACCATTTGGTGCTGGCAGGAGAATATGTCCTTGTATATCGTTCGGGATAACTAATGTTGAGCTTCCACTTGCTAATTTATTGTATCACTTTGACTGGAAACTTCCTAAGGGGCAGAAGCCAGAAGATGTAAACATGACTGAGATATTTGGTTCAGTAATTACCAGGGAAAGGGATTTGTGTGTGATTCCTGTTGCTTATCATCCTTCAACTCGTGAGTAAGATATTAAGACAAGAAGGTAGAAAGCATTGGATGGTCATTATTGAGTTTCTAGTTTTAGTGTGAGCCTCCATATATAAAAATAAAGATGAAAGGAAAACTAAGAACTAGTGTTATATAGACTTCAATAGATAATTGAATAAAGAGTATTATTCCTTTTTGGTGTTTTTACTGCATAGTTTTACAAGTGTTGAGATTTCAAAAGCTTAGCTCTGTGATAAGTTCAATAAACCTCTAAAACAATATATATATATATGTATATATATATATATATATATATATATATATATATATTTTCATGGCCATGGTTCAAAAGCCATAAGCTTTCCTTATTAATTTTTGGATTGAAAAAGATTTAGAGTGTTATAAAAGTAAATAAATTTAGAAAAATCTTATTGTAACAGGTAGGGTGTTTCACCTAAAACGTTAAACTATTAGATGTAGTTAATACCCAATCCATTTATACGTACCCATTACATTTCTCATCCGAATCCAATATGGGACAAATCCCACTTGTAACAATATTCTCCCTCGTACGAACTTGTAAGGCCTTTTTGATTTTTTTCGTCTTATTAAAAGAGATAATTTTATTCAAATCCTCCTTTTTCTTTTTCATTTTTGATCTTGACAAAAGAGATAATTTCTTCAATAAAGATTTTTTTTTTTTTGATTTTTCTACCCTCAAAAGAGATAATTTATTCATTAGAGATATTTTTTGTTAGATATATATATATATATATATTGGCCTTGTAAAAAAATAAATAAGAGATATATATATATATATATATATATATATATATATATTTTGTCTTGTCAAAATAGACCTAAAATATTTAAGACTAGAGGTAAAGAGAGAAATTTGAGTGTTATTTGAAAAAGTTATAAACATTTACTTGTAAAATTAGGGTTAGAATTGTCATTTCTTCTAAGAATGGAGTACAAATGTAAAAAAGTGATTTCTTCTAAGAATGGAGTGAAAACGTAAAAAAGTGAAGTACGAATATCATCTCTTGTACATAAATTATCGCTATCCTATTTCAATTCCAATATAAAATACAAGTGCAAGGCTATTAACAGGGCACCCTACATTATCTTATTTTAACCATAGTCACACAATTCGTCCAAAGAGGCCATGCTTTCAAGCTCGCACGTGAATTTGCGATTTGGGAGCGAGTGTGCCCCAGCTGTATAGCGTTACTATACTAGCATATATATATATATATATATATTAACCATAAATGTTTCAAAATATACTACTAAAAAACTTCCCAATTAGAAAATATTACAAATAAATCAGGCATCTATTAATGAGAAAAGTTAGCTTATTTATTACATATATCATTAATGGAATAAATAATCATAAATATATTTGTATATGGATTTAAATAAATAAAAATATGTAAAATATATATGTCATGACCTAATATAATTTTATTTAAACCATACAGATCTCAAAATTTTTAGACTTTGATGCAGGAGCTCTCATTCCCGCACTCACTCTGTGTGACTTAGATTTCAACCGTAATTTAAAATAAATAAAGGTGGAAGTTGTAAAAGATTGTAAAAGGGACTTTAGTTTCCTATTACATTAAAGGAAAAAAAACATTAAAAAGAGAGAAAGATCTTAATTGTTTCTCTCCCTTTCACATATTCATCTCTCTCTAAGCACCATGCCTATCAAAATTAAGATATCCCAGCATAACTACCGAAAAAAAAGGAAATAAAACAGATATCTCAAAACTCTATCTCTTTTAAGATCCAAGGTCATGATAATCCAGTAATAAAAACTTATACCGGTGATGAAAAACTACTCCTCCAATTCATTATTGTTATTTGTAACATCCAAAACTAAACATTCAATATAAACATAATCAATCATCCAAATTTTTTTTTTCTTGCTGAATGCAAAAGGAACAAATCACAATTATAATCTTTTTCTTCCAATAACCTTTTACCTTTTTATTTTAATCCAAATATTTAATTCTCTTGTTTTTTTTATTTTTTTATTTTTTTTATTTTTTATTTATAGCCTTTTTATTATTAGAGAGTAGTAGTATGATTTTTTTCTTTATCATTTTTCTTTCTTATTATAAAATTTTCTCTTGTACGTTAGCTCACTGCCAGGCCAATCCTGATCGTTCATGGGATTCTGCGATTGGTCGTTTTTATCTGCTTTAGATCGTAGTTGACGTGACAGTCTTATCTTGACAACTGGTTGGCTTAACTGCTCAGTTTGTTCTAACTTGGCATTACGAATGATCGTACGTCCTTATGATCAATCATGAATTGAGCGAACGATGACTTGGTAGCCCTATCCAATTGCTGATGTGGCTATGAACGATGATATGGCCTGCGATCAATCGTGAATGCTCCAGGGCAATTTTCTGAACTTCTTCCGTATTTTCTGCTTGACTCCAAAAAGGCCTTAATAGACAGTTTTTAGCCTGTTTGAACCTTATTAACCTGAAATAGGCAAAAACGCGAATTAGAACTAAAGCGGGAAAGCAAGATAGATGAAGGGACTAAAATACCCTACCTTAGGTGCTAAAATGTGCAACATTTAAGTACTTATCAATGGGATAAAATGATCTCTAAGATTCATGGGTGCTATATTTTCATTAACAATTTCCACATTGTTGACTGTAGGAATTTCAGCCCTAACATTGTCTCTAATATTTTTCACATTATCATCCATGTTGTCAATTTCACTTTCAAGTTCTCTTAAAATGGTGGGGTCCCTAAGGTTCCTTTTCTATTTTCTAAGAGTCCTTTCTAATGAAACTATATCAACTTAATTTTCAACAATTGGCAATGTCAATGATCTACAGCCCAACATCCACTAACATGCATCCATACAAAGCCAAAAATACCAAATAATTAAGTGCAGCAAATATCAACTTTGAAACACTTACAAAGGGGTGCGAATCCACGAATGTTCCAAAATTTTTCAGCACTTAAAAAGTGACTTCAAAGCAGCCCCTTCGCGTCAATCTACACTTAAAATACTTGGCAAACAAATTAAAAACAGAAAAATATATATACAAAATTATATTTACGAACAAACAGAATTTAATCTTTGAAATTTTTTATCACAAAGCCGATTGCAATCCCCGGCAACGGCGCCAAAAAATTGATGTGTGCTTATGCGTGCTCAATAATAAAACTGCACTAGCTATAACACAAGTTCCTAAGAAAGTGGTTAAATAGGGGTATCGATCCTTGAAGATTGCGAAGCTTATGGTAATCAAGTTTAAAAGATTAATTTCATGCTTGTTAATGTCATAAAAGATGGTTAATTTGTTTGTTTGTTGTTTGCATAAAGATTAAAATAAACTAAATTGAATTTAAAGAACAATAAAAGGGAGGCTAGGGAATTGAGTTCACCACGACCTCGTAATCATACATACTTGTAAGTAACTTAGGGATACGATTATGTGTGATGTGTAAAGTGTAGAAATATAAAATAACTACAACAATTGTCCATAAAATCATGTAATTTAAGACTAAGCATAAACTAGGGTGTGGTATGAGCCATCTTCCCTAGGCACGGCCTATCAAAATCTTAACATTACAAGTTTAGCACATGAAATCAATCCTCTGGCATAGACTATCTTTGGTTGGCATGGACCATCTACCGAACTACATTACTCTAAGGGTGCAGCATGGTCAATCTTCCCTTGGCATAATCTATCTAAATTCATGTTTAACATTCCAATAATCCCATTTTATGAATATAAATACTTTCTTTTTTTTTTTTTTTTTTTTTTTTTTTTCATAATTGGTTTGTGTATAAATAAAAATAAATATTTACAGGTGCACAGAGGGCATACCCTCAGAACATTACTGGGAAAAATAAAATAGAAGAGGACACCTTCCAAGTAAATAAAAAGATAAGAAAATAAAATAACATAAAAGAAAAAGAAATTATATAATGTCTCTAAGAGAGACATTATATAAATCAAGAACCTCAAACAAAGTTTTCCTAGCTACATCTGTAGTTAAGCAAGAGCTGTAACCATGTAGCCTTCGGTTTCTCTCTTGCCAAATGCTCCAAAAGCCAGCAACAAGCAAAGTTTTAATCAATTTACTGGATTGTAATAAGAACCATGTCAACAATTCTTCAACTAACAAAATGGAATTGAAATCCACATTCCAACCAAGTGCATCTTTCAACCAGTTCCAGAATTTCATAGCAAATGGGCATTGAACAAAAATATGATCTCTAGTATCAACTTGTTTTAAACAAGTAAAACATCCAGGTGCCAGTTGCACCTTCCTTTTCTGCAGATTGAATATTGTAGGCAATTTATCATAGAATAAAAACACTCCATGAATTGACCATCTAGGCCTGGCTTTTCCCCAACAGAAAGTGGACCACATAACCTCTGGATAATGTGTTCTACATCCTTTCCAAGCTCTTTTGAAAGTAAAATCACCTCCATCCCACAACAACTTATCTGGTCTGGGATGTATAAACAAAGTTTGTAAATATTCTTTAATTGGCCTAAAAATGTCAGCTTGAAGTAAACCAAAATTCCAACCTCCTTCAATAATTAGACTGGATTATGGGGAAGACCAAGTAAAACCCAATCTTCTAACCAATCTATGCCTAAACTTCTGTAGCAGTGTTTCTCCTTCACACCATAGATCTGTCAAAACCTTGAATTTTTGCCTGTGCCAATAGAAAATTGAACATTATTCAGCATTATTTCTCTAACACCAATCAGATTTTTTTAAATATTTGAATGAGAGGCCTTTGTAACTACATTCTTTTATGTGGATCTAGGAACATATCTCTTTTGAAACCAAGAAATCCCAAGCTAAGACACAATGAGCAGCAACCTGTAGGTTCTGCAGCCTTCTAATAGCTAACCCACCTTCAGCTTTTGATCTACACATCATATTCCAACTAAGAAGATGCATTTTTTTTTTTTTTCAGATTCTCCCTACTTCCCCATACAAAATCTCTACATAACTTCTGAATTTGATTGATGACCGGAACTGGAAGAAGGAATACACTACACCAGTACAAACAAATTGGTGTAATAACTGATTTTATCAGTTCAAACTTGCCTGCAACTGAAATCAATCTTGTACTCTATTCAATAAGCTTGTTAGTAACTTTATCTATAAGAGCAGAGTAATGAGACCTTTTCAAACCAGAAGAACATAGAGGAACCCCCAAATATTTTAAAGGAAGAGACTCCTCTTTGCACTGTAGCAGATTCAGAATTTCATTTTTCCTTCTAACACATTTGGAGAAAATCACACTACTCTTTTGGTAATTAATGTGGAGACCTGAAGTATCACCAAATTTTTGAAAAACCTCTTGAAGAATTTGAGCATTAAAGATTGAAGCTTTACAGGTTATCAACAAATCATTTGCAAAAAATGTGTGACAGCATAATGAATTTGCTTTTTGGGCAGTTCTGGTTAAGGTAAGTCTTCCAGATAGAACTGATGCATTAATGAGTTGGGTAAATTGGTCTGCTACCAAGGTAAAAAGAAGAGGAGAAAGAGGGCAGCCTTGCTTTAAGCCCTTTGAGGGTTGAATGAAGCCTGTTGGTGAACCATTAAGTAAGATAGATTATCTAGTTGAACTCAAGAAATTAGAGATCCAATTCAGCCAATTTTCACTAAAACCAGAGCTTGAAAGAATCTTTAGAAGGAAATTCCAATTAACTGAATCAAATGCCTTAGACACATCAGCTTTCAAGGCCATAGATGGAAATTTAGAATTAAAATCATTTACCATTTCATGCCCCATGATAACCGCATCTTAGATTTTCCTGCCCTTAATTAAAACACTTTGTTCTAAACCAACTAAGCTAAGAAGCAACAGAGAAAGTCTAGCAGCTAGAACTTTTGAGATGATTTTATAGATGAGATTACATAAAGCAATAGGTCTAAACTCCTTTGGTTTAATTGCATTCCCAACTTTAGGAACCAAGGTTAAGAAAGAACTACTTACTCCAATTGGAATATAACCTTCTTTGAAGAAATGATGGACTGCAGCACATACTTCAGGTTGGATTATAAACCAAAAAGTCTTATAAAGTCTTGCTGGAAATCCGTCAGGTCCAGGAGCTTTATATGGTTTAAAATTCATCACAACTACCTTATCTCTTCATTGGAGATAGGAGAATCTAGAATCATTTTATCTTCTGAAGAAAGTATATATCGAGATTTGATTTCAAAGGTAGTCTCAGCTGCAATCTCTTGAAACAGACCCTTATAGTAATCAACAAATATCTTTTTGATTTCCTCTGTATCTGCTGTAACCTGGCCATTCTCTCTCTCTCCACAGAAGTTATTGCATTGAATTGATGATGTTGTTTCATCTTTGAGTAAAAAAAAGCAGAACATTTATCAGTTTCCTTAAACCACTGAATTTTTGACTTTTGTGCATATAGAATCTCTTGAGAAGACAAAGCATCATTATATTCATCCTTAGCTTGAATCTCCTTTGCAAACATATCTTCTGTAGGATTATCAAGAAGTGCGAGTTGAATATCATCCAATTTCTGTTTAGTGCTTAAAACCCTCTCTTCTATATCCCCAAAATATTTTTTGATCCATAATCTGACAGCAGCCTTAACTGTTCTAAGTTTTTTAAGAAGAATGTGAATTGGGGTACCATAAGTAGGTTCAGTCCAGGCTTTCTTTATTACCTCAGTAATGCCCTCATGTAAGCACCAAAATTTCAACATTTTGAAGGGCTTTGGGCCACTTGCAAACTGCCTAAATATATTTATAACAACACCACAGTGATCCGAGGATGATGAAGCTGAGTAAGAAATTTTTATACCTGTGAATAACTGCAGCCAGGCATCATTTGTGAATACCCTATCCAGCTTAGCCATAATCTTTCTGTCCCTACCTTGTTTGTTACACCATGTCCAATCCCCATTTGAAGCAAATAATTCCATCAGTCCAGCATTTTGAAGACATTCATTAAATTCATCTAGTAGTTTTTGTGGAACTCTTCTTCCTCCTTGTTTATCTGAGTAGAATCGAGTGGCATTCCAATCCCCAACTACCAACCACGGACCATTCACAATTGTAGATTGAGAAATTAAGTGATTCAAAAGTCTTTTTCTTCCAGCTATAGCATTTGAGGCATATACAGGTGTACAAAAAACAAGCTTATCAGTTTGAATAATATGAACCTTAAGCCGAATAGACTGATCCATCTCATTGACCTTAGTCACTGTAAATAACAGCGGATCCCAACCAATCCAAATTCTACCCAAATCATGAGAATCATAGTTATGCATCCAACTCCATCTTCTATTTATTTTTCTTGTAATAACATCAAACTTAGATCTTCTAACTCTTGTTTCTTGTAACCAGACAAAATGAGAGTCATTTGATTTGATCCACTGTCTAACCTCTCTTTGCCTTTTGGGCTTATTCAAGCCCCTCACATTCTAAGATGTGATCATTAAGAAGGGTGCAGAGGGGGAGCTCTCCCTTGACTCCTAGTCACTCTTTGTGCTACTGACAAATTTATATTATTTTTCTTAACCTGGAGCTTCTGCTGGCTTTTAGATGTTTTGGAAGAGGAAGATACTTTCTTGGATTCTTTGGTGAAAGGTGCAAGCCCACTCACTTCAAAATCTGCCCTTGAATCTTCTTGAATACCTTAAATTACAGTAGTACGATTCTTCACTTGTACCCCTGTACTTGTTACTTCTGGAACTCCTTGAACCTTTAGATTGAGTCATCCCAGGCTCAACTTGAAACTTTTCTGTTGAAATTTCTTGAACAGCTTGCACTTCAGTTTCAATTCCCTTCAATGAATTAACTTTCTGTTTTTGAGTATCCTCCACAATAACAGTATCATCAGCTAACATATCCACTTCAGAATGAGCTTTCTCTTTTTTAGTACTCTCCACATTAACAATTTCATCTTCTAACATCTTCTCCACTGTCTGTGAAGGACCCTCCTCAACTTCTTCATTCTGTAACACTACATTCTGGAGAACTTGGAAAGCATTTGAGGTTTGAATCGGGACAACAGATGTAACTGTGTTCCTATTAACAAAAGTAACTTTATCTTGTCCAACAGCCCTTTCGTCAAACACCTCATCAGCATCCCTAATCACCAATTGTCCCTTTTGTTTTACCAGCCATTTCTTAACCAGATTCTTCTTCATTGGCTTGGGCTGTAGAACCTTTTGAGGACACCTATCTGAAACATGATCCACTCTTTGACAAATAGTACAAATATGTGGCTTCCAGTCATATTCAAAAGTAAGATCACAATCAACACCATGAATGTCCACCACCAAAGAATCGGGTAACTGTTCTTTCACATCTACTTCAACCATAACTCGTAAATATAGACCTTTATCCTTATTAGCTTCAGTATTGTCCATATATATAGGTTTTGCAAATGTAGAACAAATCATAGAGACAATTTGAGTTTTCCTATAATGCACTGGCAGATCATATATCTTTAACCAAATAGGAACCGACTCCAATACTTCTTTAACTAGATTGACATTTTTGCTCCAACGTTTGAGTAGTATGATTGGTCTTCCCTCGAAAGTATGGATATGAGACAGAACTTGCTACAAATCAGATTCATCATGGAACCAAACCAAAAAGAATCCATCTTTCAAATAAATCAACGTGAAATTCTTAAACCAATGTTTTTCAACAAATGATTTGAAACGGTGATAGTAAGGCTTTTTCCCCATCACATAACCAACCACTGATAAGGACCAGTAGTTGATTTCTTCAGCAACATCTTCATCCTGAATCGAGATTTTCTTTCCACGTACATCACTATGATAAGTCAAGTTTTTGAATTTTGATGCAGGCTCTTTGAACAAACTGCACCAAGAGGTGGATGGGGCTGTAGACCGACACGGAGATCCCGCTGGCGGAATACTAGAGGAGGGTTGGCCCTCCTCTATCATGATTGTTAAAAGCCCGGCCACCAAGATAGCATGCAAACCCTAATATGCAAATCGCCTTTCTAGAGAGAAAAAAGGGTTCTTACACAAACGGGCGACATATGAAGATATTAAGTGTATAAATATATAATCATGCTTTCTAAGACAAGAGTTACATGGTGGATATACCTCTCTCTCTCTCTCTCTCTCTCTCTATTATATAAACAAAACACAAATTGAATAATACATCACATATTTATTCATGAAACTCGTCACACACAAGAGTTTTCCCCAAATTACATTACAAAATTATATAATTACTTAATCGAGGCTACCTCAATCCCTTAGAAGGGGATTTAGCTCATCCTAGTGGTGGTAGGAACTCCGATGGTTGAAGAGGAAGACTCCACCTTTGACTCCATGGAAGCCCCAAGCCAAGAACACTCAAGAACCCTAGCTATTTCCCACTTTCTCTCTTTAGAACTTTTGAATTCTGAACTATATTGATATATGATATTACATGATCCCTATACAAGTGTATAGAACCTCTTTCTGGCAGAATCAGTTCAAAAAGCCATTAAACTCATCCATTCAAGTGAAGGGGAGAGAGAAAAGTAACTGAAATTTCTTTTGAATTTCAAATCTGGAGAATTGTGTCCGGATGCCAGGAAGTGCGTCTGGACCCTGAGTGTCCAGGTCTTCCTTGGTGCGTGCGCAGGGTGCTGGCATTGCAAGGTTATGGCATCAGGCTTCCGTATGCAAATTTACGAGGCTACTGGAATTTTAATTTCTTTAATTGTTGATCTTGAGTTGTGAAGGGCATCTGGATGCAAGATTTGCACTAGGAGAGTGCGTCCGGACGCAAGGCTGAGGCCTTCATGTTTGACTTTTCCTTCTTGCTCAGCTTCTTGGGCCTGACTTCATTCTTAAGCTGAGTACAATCTTTAGGCTCTAGGTCCATTTTGTTGGGTTCCGTCGCTTGCCAATTCGTTTGTCCATAAAAAGCCATTAATATCCCATTTTTACACTATTTTGGCGATAAGCTCTGAAAATGACAATTAAACACAAAATTGTATAAAACATACTTTGTTAACATACTAAATAAACTAAACAATGCAATTAAGGGTGCTTGATTATGCAATATTCGACACTTATCAGCAAACAAATCAAATCTTCCTTTAAGAGTAAAAAGGATGTCACCACCTCCAGACCACTAGAACTTTACACATGGACTTGTTCGATCCAAAAAGAACTGCAAGCCTTGGCAACAAATTCTTTGCTTTTGTCATTGTTGACGACTACTCTAGATACACGTGGGTTTTCTTTCTTACACATAAAAATGAGGCTCACTCAATTTTTTTAAATTTCTGTAAGAGAGTTGAAAACGAAAAAGAGCGTAACATTAAGAAGATCCGTAGTGATAGAGGTAGAAAGCTTGAAAACCAAGACGTTGAAAGATTTTGTGATTCAAATGGTTATAGCCATAATCTTTCTGCTCCTAGAACACTTCAGCAGAATGGAGTGGTGGAGAGAAAGAATAGATCTCTTCAAGAAATGGCTAGAACCATGTTACATGAGCACAACTTACCCATTCTTTATGGGCTGAAGCCGTCAGCGCTACGTGCTATGTTATGAATCGTGTCATCATTAGAAAACTCATTCATAAAACCCCATATGAAATATGGAACAAAAGAAATTCTAAGATTGGGTATTTCAAGGTTTTTGGGTGCAAATGCTTCATTTTAAATGATAAAGATAACATAGGGAAGTTTGAATCCAAATTGGATAAAGGCATCTTCCTTAGTTACTCAACCAGAAGCAACACATACAGAGTTTTAAATACAAGAACATTAGTAGTAGTTGATTCAATTCATGTTATTTTTTATGAATCTCCTCTACTACTTACGCAGGTCACCTTAGATGATGAGGATGAGGTTAATATTGAGAAAAACATCGATAAACTCAAATTAACTGAGTCTTCTTTTGATGATCCTCAGAAAAACGTCTCACATGAATCTCCTCCTCAAAAAACCATCCTTCCTAAAGAATGGAAGTTCGTACATAATCATCCTATAGATCAAATTATTTGTGATCCATCTAAAAGAGTCAGTACAAGGTCACAAATTAGAAACATATGCAACTATATGGCATTCGTATCCCAACTTGAACCTAAAGTTATATTTGAGGCTGAAAATGATGAGTTATGGCTATTGGTTATGCAAGAGGAACTCAATCAAATCGAAAGAAATAAAGTCTGGAATTTAGTTCCACGACTGACAAACAAAACCATCATTGGCACCAAATGGGTGTTCAGAAGCAAGAAAGATGAATGTGGAACCATTGTCAGAAATAAAGCCAAACTTGTAGCTCAAGGATATATCCAAGAAGAAGGTATTGACTATGATGAAACCTTTATTCATGTGGCAAGACTTGAGGCAATCAGAATGTTGCTCACATTTGCATCCAACCAGAATTTTAAGCTATATCAAATATGGATGTCAAAAGTGCATTCTTAAAGGGGTTCATTGACAAAGAAGTATTTGTGGAACAACCACCTAAATTTGAAGACTATGATCATCCAAATCACGTATACAAATTGTTAAAATCCCTATATGGTCTAAAAGAAGTCCATAGGGCATGGTATGAAAGACTGAGTGGTTTTATGCTCTAAAATGGATTTGTGAGAGGTAAGATTGACAATACTCTCTTCACAAAAACCATTGAAAGCTATTTATTGATTGTGTAAGTTTACGTTGATGATATCATTTTTGGATCAACAAATCAAAATCTGTGCAAAGAATTTGCTTCCATTATGCAAAATGAATTTGAAATAAGTATAATGGGTGAACTAAACTTCTTCTTAGGACTGCAAATTCGACAAACACTTAATGACGTCTTCATTTGCCAGTCTAAATATGTCAAAGATTTGCTAAAGAAATATGGCTTGGAGGACGCCAAACATGCCAAAACTCCCATGAACCCATCCTTAAAATTAGATAAGGATGAGAAAGTAAAAAAATGTTGATATTAATAAATACAGAGGAATGATAGGGAGTCTTCTTTATCTAACAAGGACATTTGGTCTCAATTACCAAACAAACTGGTCTCGGGTTACTAGTCCACAATGTACTACCTAGTGCGCACTAAACCCGGAATCAAACCGTATATTAGTGTTTTAGGGTTACTAGCCCTCAGGGAACCGCCCAGTGCGCACTAAATGTTATAGGAGGAACTCTCATCCCCTGTATTAGAGCTATGCCCTAGCCATAACATATTACAATGCCTTGTAAGTTTTCCTAAAATCAAAAAGTTGTGCATCAAGATATAATATATATACACAATATATTAGTCAACTACCATGCACAAACAAGTAAAGTAAAATACACAATATTCATCCTATGTCTTCAAGCTATAATGGCATATGACATGTCAAATGTATAATGTGTATATAAGCAAATTAAACTATAACTTCTATTTATAGAATACTATAATGTAATCATACAATAAGTACCAAATTTACAAGTTAAGTATGGAAACAATTTCAATACCAACTACCTCAATGGAAGCATATAATGGAATTTAATTAAATTAAATAATTAAATTCTCAAGATTACAAAGTAAATCCAAATATTCTGAAATTAATATAAGTTAAAGGTCATGACAAAGCCTAGTTTAATATTACATTACAAGTTATTTATACCTAACTTACAACTAGGTAGATTAAACTCCATATAAGAAAATAATTAAATTAAAGTTCTCCACACTCATTTAAATATTCTCATTTTCATATATGTTAATAAACATATTAAGGCCTAATTTAATATCACATTGTAAGTTCATTCCAAGCTAGGTAAAACCATGTGAATTAAATTCCATACAAAGAAAATAATTAAATAAAAGTCTCAAAACCTATTCAATTATTCTCAATTTAATTTATATGATAGAACATGCCAAACTCATCAACAATATCAAGTTAAAAATCCAATTAAGTGAGTAGAACACTTAAAATAAAATTAATTAATTTTCTCTAGATTTTAAAACAGCTCCGAATATTCTCAAATTCACATAGGTTAAAGTACATACCAAGGCCTATTTCAATATCACATTACAAGTTGATTCGATGCAAGTAACAACCATGTGAATTAAATTTTCATTAATTAAAATAATTAAATAAAAGTTTCAATACTTATTCAAATAATCCCAATTTAATATATGTTAATGAACATATCAAGTCCAAATTTAATATGATACCACAATTTAATTCTAAGCTGTATATATCCATATGAATTAAATCTTATATAAAGAAATAATTAAATTAAATTTCTAGATTAAATACATAGGCATGTATACAAGTTGTATAAGCTTGTAAAACAATAAATACAACAATTATGTAAACCTAAGACATCCCCTGCCTCACTTTGAGATGAAATCTCAAATCCCCACCGGAAGGAAACTGCTCTAAATCCGATGACACTTCTAGGTTTTGTCGGGAACAATGAGGGAAGCAACAATAACCCTTGAGGCACCATGAAAATCCAAACCTGAACTCAAAACCTGAACTAAAAAATGGTCAGAATCGGCTTCTAATAAGGGGGAAATGATCGTCTCGCCAAGGCCTACGATAAACACTAAGGCACTACGACATTTTATAAAGGGGAAGATGGTCAATTTGAGAAAAGAAGGGTGGTAGCCCAATGGCTGATCTGCAGCAGTGTGAGAAGAAGAGGATGGAATGTTTTAATTTTCCAAACCCCCTATTTATAGTAAAACCCTAAAAGTGCCCTGAACGGGCCCCGCCGGTACAAAAAAGTGAAATTTGCGCAAACGCGCTCAAACGGTAAAAATCGTGAACAAACCAAATGAAAAAAAATAAATAACGGAAGAAACGACGTAGAAAACTGAGTCCCGTGCAGAAAGATATGCCCCGAACAAGTTCGGCAGCAATTAGGGCCGAAAACCCTAAAACTGGGAAAAACGACCGTGAGGAAATCTTAAGAGTACACGACTTGACAAAATGTGAAAAT